CCACAAGATACGACTTAAGAAACTCTTCCTCTCTTTTAGATTTAGTCTTCACACGCGGTGATGACGTTGGTCAAATGGCTTTTCTCCCACCACTTGGGACAAGTGACCATGCAGTCATCTTATTCGAATTCATGGCTGAGATTGCCTGTCAAACAGTTGCGCCGGCCCGTCCTAACATATGGAAGGGAGATATACAGACAAGTAACTCCTCAGCATCGGCTGAAAACTGGGAAATTGACTCAAAGGCATCAGTACAAGAGGCACGAACTCTATTCAGGCAGTTATACAATCGGGTAACTCAACCATACATACCCTGGACTGTCCCAAAGAAAAAGAAGTACGGACATCCCTGGGTAGGGCGGGATATTCGACGTTTACTAAGACAAAAGAAGAAATGCTGGGACGCTGCCATCCGCCTTGGCACAGCACGTACGATGGAACGCCACAGATCGATGAGAAACGAGTGTATAACGAAAATTCGGGAAGCTCAAAGAAAATATGAAATGCAGCTGGCATAATCTGCACTCAAGCAGCCCAAGAGAATATTCTCGTACATAAACTACAGAACAAGGATGCATCACTGGATTCCCAACCTAATTACAGTAGGAAGTGAATCTGAAATGGTAGAGGAAGATCAAGAAAAAGCAGAGGCTATGGATGACTATTTTGGGGCAGTTTTCACTCAGGAACCTCCTCTAGAGAAAGAACCAGACCCAAATATAAAGTCAACAAACTAGCTGCTCATCGTGAACTTCGACCAAAACGATGTGCTTAAGGCTCTTGGCACCCCAAACATGGAAAAGTCAACAGGACAAGATGAACTACACCCCAAAATCTTGAGACATATTGCTCATTATATCGCGGCCCCACTGACTGTGATATTCAATATGTCACTTGACCAAGGTGTGTTACCTATGGACTAGAAGGACGCAATCGTCACTCCCATACATAAAACAGGTCCACGACAAGTTCCATCGAATTACAGACCCGTAAGTCTCACCGGTGTTGTAATTAAAATACTGGAAAGAATAATCAAACGGACCATAACGGCATTTATGGAAATCAATAACTTGCTGAATATGGCACAACATAGTTTTAGAAAGGGTCTATCCTGTACAACAAACCTCCTTAGAGCAAGGGAGTTCTGGATTAATGCGCTAGACAACGGAAACTCAGTGGATGTTGTCTACATAGACTTCAGTAAGGCTTTTGACAAGGTGCCAACTAATAGACTGCTATTGAAGTTGGAAAACCTTGGTATTGCCGGACCTCTTTTAAAATGGATTAAGGATTTCCTAGTAGGTCGTAGGCAAAAAGTAAGAATAAATTCCAAGTGCTCCATCTGGAGACCAGTACTTAGTGGAGTACCCCAAGGTTCTGTCCTAGGTCCTTTACTTTTTATAATGTACGTTAATGATCTTACAAGTATAGTACAGTCTCCAATGTTATTATACGCTGACGATGTAAAAATTTGGCGGGTAATAACTGCAGACAAAGACGCATTTACTCTCCAGGCAGACTTAAATAATATGATAAACTGGTCTAAAGAGTGGCTGATGCCTATCAACGCGGAAAAGTGTGTCTGCATGCAATTGGGGGATTCAAAGGTTAATACGTGTGTGTCATTACCCGTAGTCCGGTCTCATAAGGACCTAGGGGTGACAGTGAGCAATGACCTTAAGACGACGGCCCATTGCCGGGAGGTCGCAGTTAAGGGGTTTCGAACCCTCTGGGCTTTAAAAAGGACATTCACTAAGCTTGATACTACCATGTTCACCACAGTATACACATCCTTATTGAGAACTAAGTTAGAGAACTGCGCTCAGGCTGCAAGCCCATGTTTAAAAGGTGACTCGGACATACTAGAAAAAGTACAGAGGGCAGCTACGCGTGCAATTCCGGAACTCCGGGGTTTATCATACAAAGAGCGGCTTGACAAACTGGACCTCTTTACTCTGTCCTATTGCAGACTAAGGGGAGATCTAATTTTGATGTACAGAATACTGAGAAATGATTTCGGACCCAACTTATTCTCTCTTTCTTTCCACTAGATCAGGACACCTTAAAGGACATAGCAGGCGAGTAGAAAAGCCAAGAACGAACAAAATACCCGTGGCATACAGGTTTTCACACTGCGTCATCAATGCTTGGAACCTGCTGCGTAAAGCAGTGGTGTCCGCACCTTCGATTGACACTTTCAAGAAAAGACTGGACACTCACAGAAGCATACCAGAAAAGGAATAACATAGGCGGTAGGCCTTCCGTCCTTACTACACAAATCTAAAATCCGAAATCTGAGTGGTTGTCCGCCGACTGAGAGTCGATGGTGGTCGTGAGGGGAACATTGAGTGGTGAGGATGCACACAGTTTGTGTGTGTGAATTCAATGAGAGTGTGTCAGACGGAGTGGGAGACTCAACTAGTGTGGGTGTCTCAGACGGTGGAGTGGAGAGTCGGACAAAAGCCCGCTACGTCAGGAGCAGGGTTCGAACCTGCGCGGGGAAACCCCATTGGATTTCAAGTCCAACGCCTTAACCACTCGGCCATCCTGACACGATTCGCGCATTCACACACAATCAACTCACACGTTCATCACCACAACATCAACAAAACACTCTCTCATCACACATCCACTCGCACACACGCAAAACATCGGCACTAACACACATACTCATTTATACACTCGTAATCTATTCTATTCCGTCACGTCCGTGATAACAACAACGTTGTTCCTTCGCGGCCGGATGTTGCGTTATATTTGAACGTTATCGTGAAAATTTATAATAACTTTCTGAACATCTTTCATGATAACAACATTATAGGCTTTAAAAGATGAAGAGTTTTTTCTTGGTCTTCTGATATTCTTCTAACCATTAAATGCCATTCTTTTCGTTTTTCTTGCACGGGGTGTTGCTATTTCTGTAAGGGTTTATATGATTTTCCTATAATTTTTTATCCACACTATTAGGATCGTGGAAATGAATACTGATTTATCATAAATTCACGATATTTCACTTTAGAATGCCGACATCGTTGGTTGTGGAGTTGATTGATCGTTTTTATATACCTCAGGCTGTAGGCATAATCATTTTATATAACTAATAAATTTCCGCTTGATATAGATATATATATATATATTTCCGCAAGCCTAATGTGTTCTTCAGATGGGCTAGACGTCATGTTGCTTATTATCATGATAGGTTGAGTCAGTATAGACTATGACGTGACCTTAACATAAGATCTTGTATATTAGGTAGTTACATCAATGTTAGTCAAAAATTTTGGGATTAGGTCCGACATTATAGTATCAAAGACGAATGTACTAATACCGAACTAGACTTTAATTCAACAAAATAATTGCTGACTAGCGAACAGAGTCGACCGTGACCAACTTTCTAATGATAAGAATGATGTGATATTTTAGTATGCTTTACTACCATAAATGTTGATAGTGCTAATGCTAAGTTGTTTAATATACTACAGCTTTACTCAGATCTGATTGTGTTAATACTTACACCTTTTTTCCTACATCTCCAATTTAAAACCAGCCGCTGTTGGAAAAAGAAGGACCGTAACCAGTTTAGCCCACAATTTCTGAGTTGCATAGTATATTTTAATTACTCATATAGGACAATCTGTGTCAACATGCCTGTAAGAAATGTGACCTTTTACTTAGTAGGCGATTTGAGGAGGTTGGTGCACTACAATGCATCCTATTAAAATTTCTAGGTAGTTAGGCGTACAATTTGTCTCTTAACTTCAATTCTTGCTTCAGAAACCTATTTCAAACCAATTGATGCTAATCGCTGACGTCACATGTATTTTGTCGAAATGAAAAATCATCGTAAGTTATTATTGGTAAACATTATGGGACCTTAGCTTCATTCTGACCTTTTTCATGATTCCTTGGACCACTTCTTAATATCCATCACGGATGCTACAGCAAACGTCTACCACATAAGTGTGATTCATTTTGATGATCGATCCTACACCTGGAACTACTAGAAAATTCCGTGTGCCCGGACGACTTCACAGTGATCTTTAAAGCTTAGACGAACTATTACAAAAATGATAAAAAAAACCTCCATAGAGTAGGTACCAAGTGAACAGTTTGACTTTCAAAAATTTCATATAAGGGGTGATCTAAACCGAGGATGTCGTGAATATGTAATGTTTGTCAACGATATTTTCCGAAACGTCTGGATACAAAAGGATTCAGAATACATCTAAATCAGAAGTCAGGAATGAAGGGTTGCTAAGGTATGAGAGTTTATGCAATCTTAACTGATCAGCTGTGATAAGAGATGTGCTACTCAAACCTGATTTGGTGCAGATGACTTACCGAGCATCTTCATCTTGGTGTGTGTCCAGCGAAACTAATGAGGTTAGCATCAGAGTCGAGGACCTACGACACCACTTATTCAATGAGGTTTATTTACCACTACAAAACTATAAGACATATGTTTACCCTGTCACTGTAGTTCAATGAGGTGACCTAATATTTGCTTTCTGTATTATGAATAACTGTTTGACTACTAACATATCGTATTTGTTCATCACCCCCGGAATTTTTCACATCAACTACCATTAAGTGTTCAAAAATCGCAAATAAGTATGTTGAGGGTGGGAATCATCATTTTTCATCCAGCTGGCAGCGGCTCTGATGTGCTATCCATTCGATTGACATCAACTACAATGGCGAGTGCGTTTAGAAAGAAACTGGATCTCGACGGGACGACAAATATTAAGCGTAAAACACTTTACGTAATCCACTGTCCTCATTACTAATAAGTGAGGACATTCGACTGCACAACCAAGACGAGTCATTAAGGTCGGTCGATGTACCAACTTTATCTATGAAAACTGATATTAAACAAAAATAAATATTATCCACATACATAGACTTTAACGTCCGTGAGCCTGTCAATTATTAGGTATCAAATTCTCATTGCGATCACTAAAAATCTTAGACATCGTGTAACTACTTTTGTTTATATTCTTCAAGGATGGTAGATTCGGTCGACTATGAGCATTGGCTCACTAATTAAGAGGGCTTTAATTAACGGATTTCAACTGAAAACGAGAATACAATGCATATGAAATATCTAATATCAATTTAGTTTTCGTAGACTGGATTCTTGACTATGATTGTTCTCAATAATTTCCCTATCAAAACTGATTCACTTGGAGATAAAAAAGTTGAGACAATTATGATCCCTTCCAATAAAAGAGAAGCACCTGTTGTCAGCCCTCCTAAACCAGATGACAACGGTCATAAAATCCCACTAGGTAAAGACATAGCCTTCTTACAAAAGCAGCATGAGGCCATGCTGAAAGGCTTGCATCAAGAAATTGAATCCTTGAAAAAAATTAATAAAGGTTGTGGTTATTTCGTATACTTTTATTTTTTCAGACTTGCAATATCGTCTGGTGATGTGTACATGTTCTGCTGGCTATTCTGATGATAATTTACCAAAAAGTTAGGATAATCTTAATTATATGTAATAACTAGATAAAACCAACGAGAACTCCCTAAAACAAGAAATATCGATTTTGCGGGAAGATCTTGAAAATGAAAGGAAGAAGAACGCACGTTTGATGCAACAATTAGAGGAATTGCAAGTATCCCAGAATCCTGTTAGAGGGTGAGAATGTTCATCGAACTTTTGTCTTTTACTAAACGCCTTAAAATCACAGTAGTACTAATCCTTTACATTATGTATTCGGACTTCCGCTCACCTGTTTTTGATATTTCAAGACTCCTTATAAAACATCACAGACTTAATTGATAATTGTTTGGAATATCCTATGGTTGAAAGTTTTGACTGAGATCTGATCAGTTTTAGTTTATATACTTGCATTCATTGCTAATTACCTCGGTGCAGCCATCATGACACAAGTTTATGTGGGATAGACGGTATCATTGATTAGTTTGTATTGTTTTCTGAGATGTATGAAGTTTATTTACTCAACCCTACGTTTTTATTGGTCTTGGGACAGTAATTTTAATATTTTTTAGAAATTATTTCAATATGCAAAAGCAGAGTGGTTGTGAAGATAACCTTTCTTTTCTCCAACCTGCAATGTTACTGATATTCGCTCTACCTAACTACTTCATCTACTTCTTTACTAGTTTGATCCATGTAATCTGTTCTTTAAAAGTGTAATCAGGAGTGGGACAGGCTTTTATGTTTTTCAACATATCAAAAGACTCTGGATTTAATCATCTTATAGTTCCGTTTATATTGTATACCCTGCATACTCCCTACGTTCATTTGATCTATCGAATGACCGGTTCCAGAGGAACTGTTGAGAATGGATTGTTATACTGAGTGGTATTTGTTACTTTTAAGTTGAATGACACTTGATAAAGCTTCACAAGACTAAAGACAAATAGAAAGTAGGCGAATTAAATATACTTTCCTAATTTAAATATTAACACACTCAATAGCCGCTGAAATTCTATCATGAAAAGCTGCTTTCACTCTGTGCATTTACTCGGAGTCTGTTGTCTTCTTTAGACTGTAATGCTAACGAAACACTAACCCATTATCGTGGGTGGAAGTTCAAAACATCATGGAGAGGATTTTGGTTTAGAACATAACCCACTGAATGATTATATTAATAATAAGTTTAAAAAAATGCTTAGCCTTCTAATTTACCAAATAAAACAATAATTTATTGTATACGTTCAGTCATAAGTGTCAATGGTGAGAAGTCGGCTAAGCCATTTCCAGGTAGGATTTGAAGTCAACATTGAATATTTATTTATTGTTAACACCTACTGGAGTACAGAAAAATACATCAGGTATCTAGCGCGTCGTTCCTACTAATAAATAGGATTCTAGTCAAATGCAAACAACGCTTCAACACATAATTTCACAAAAATAATCTGGTTTTTCTTTTGATATCTTATCTACTTTCCATAGTACAGATTTCATTGTATCATTAGTTTAAAAATAAACTTGTATTGCATTGATTTAGAACCTTTTACATTTCTTTTAGTGTTTCTTTACGGTAAGTGATAACTACTGTTTTTCCACTTGGTGAATGGTGTTATCTAGTCTTTTCATCTTTGTCATATCGGTTACTGACGTCTGAGAAGTTGACTGATATTACTTTCTAAATTCAACAATCAAAAAACTCCATTATAATATCTCTGCCCTGCATCTCCTACTTCACCTATGGCTTAGAGTCCTTAGTATTGACCAGTAGTACGTTGTAACGGACACAACCTTGAGTTGATGTAATTATTTCCTGCTTCGGTTTGGGCATCCAGGCAGTATCACAGCCCTCACACAAATCAAATGAGATTTGTGTGGCACATATGTATAATAATAAGTGATGTAGTTATACTTCTGTCAGTCCTGCTACCCCCAATAATTCCTCTGTCCTCAACCTGGAATCTGAAAAGAAGTCTCCAGCTAAGGTTCTATCATTATATTTTTAACTACCAAATTCAGCCATCTAAAATATATCGCATGCACTCAACAACTTATGTACACGATAAACTGGGTTATATTACATCGTAAAAATAGGTAACTAGTCATACACAAACGGGGCAGTATCAACGATGATAAAGATAGTCTTGTGTATATATGAACTAATAGGAGTATAACTACGTTAACTCAAGGTTAAGTGTCCGTCAGAACGTACCAGTGGTCAAGATTAAGGACCCTATGCTATATATATAATAGGATACATAGGGTGGTTTTATTTGCATTTAATTAGTTTGAACCTTCTTTATTAACCGAGACATACCTATATGTAGACTATCTCATCTGGATACTTACAAGTGCAGGTACTTTCGATAATCCTATAAAAAGTCACTCTAACCGTCTTACTTACTTACGCCTGTTACTCCTCGTGAAGAAGCATAGGCCGCTCACCAGCATTCTCCATCCAACCCTGTCCTGGATAATCCTTTCCAGCTCTTTCCAGTTGTTATTCATCCTTTTCATATCTGCTTCTATTTCCCAACGTAACGTGTCCTTTGGCCTTCCTCTTTTCCGCTTCCCTTCAGGATTCCAAGTTGGGGCTTGCCTCGTGATGTAGTTTGACGATTTGCGTAATGTATGTCCTGTCCATTTCCATCGTCTTTTCCTAATTTCTTCTTCAGCTGGAAGCTGATTTGTTCTCTCCCATTGAAGGCCGTTGCTGATGGTATCCGGCCAATGGATGTTGAGTATCTTGCGAAGACAGCTATTTATAAATACTTGTACCTTCTTGATGGTGGTTGTTGTAGTTCTCCAAGTTTCAGCTCCATACAGTAGAACTCCCTTGACGTTCATATTGAAGATTCTCACTTTGATATTGGTTGAAAGTTGTTTTGAGTTCCATATGTTCTTCAATTGTAGGAATGCGACCCTTGCTTTGCCAATCCTTGCCTTTACGTCTGCATCTGAACCTCCTTGTTCATCGATGATGCTTCCCAGGTATGTAAATGATTCTACATCTTCTAGAGTCTCGCCATCAAGAGTGATTTGATTGCTGTTCTCCGTGTTGTGTTTGAGGACCTTGGTTTTCCCTTTGTGTATGCTGAGGCCTACTGATGCAGAGACTGCTGCTACACTGGCTGTCTTCATCTGCATCTGTTCGTGAGTATGCGATAGGAGGGCTAGGTCATCTGCGAAGTCCGAATTGTCTAATTGGTTCTGAGCTGTCCATTGTATTCCGTGTTTTCCGTCAGATGTCGAGGTCTTCATAATCCAGTCGACCACCAGAAGAAAGAGGAAGGGAGAGAGTAGACAGCCTTGTCTGACTCTGGTCCTTACTTGGAATGCGTCTGTCGGCTGTCCTCCATGCACGCCCTTGCACTGTAGTCCGTCTGATTTCTTCCGTCGTTGGTGGATTGACATCTATAGGAAGATCTGTGTGTGCTGCTTCGATGTCCGGTGGATTCATTGGAGCCGGCCTATTCAGCAGTTCCTCGAGGTACTCTACTCATCCGTTCCGCTGTTGTTGAACTTCAGTGATTGGCCTGCCTTCTTTGTCTTTGACCGGCCTCTCTGGTTTACTATATTTCCCTGCTAATTTCTTCGTTGTATCGTAAAGCTGCTTCATATTTCCTTCTCTTGTAGATTTTTCCGCCGTCGTTGCTAGTTTTTCTACGTATTTCTGCTTGTCGACTTTGATGCTCTTCTTCACTTGCTTGTTTGCTTCTATGCACTCAGCTTGTGCTTGGACTTTCTCTGCTCGTGTTCGGCTGTTTTTAACTGCTGCCTTCTTGTTCTTCCTTTCTTTGATCTTGTCCAGTGTTTCTTTAGACCCAGAACCTCTTGATACGTCGAAGTTAATGCTTCCTTGACACTTTTCCAGTTGTCCTCCATAGTAGTTTCTTCTTCCTTCAGTAGATCCTGTAAGACTTGGAACCTATTGTTGAGAGCTATCTTGAATTCGTTGATTTTGTTAGTATCTCGAAGGAAGGCTGTATTGAACCTTTGTATTGCTGTTTGTCCAGTTGTCCAGTTCTTTTTTAGCTTCGGTTTTTAATTGGCTACAACTAGGTGGTGATCTGAACCTATGTCAGGACCTCTCCTGGTTCTCACACCTTCGATTGTCCTTCGGAATTTTTTTATTAATGTAATTATGATCTATCTGGTTCTCTGTGGTGTGGCCCGGTGAGATCCATGTAGCCTTGTGTATACGTTTGTGTGGAAATATTGTGCGACCTATGACCAATTTGTTGAAGGCACATAGATTTGCAAATCTTTCCTCATTTTTGTTTCTCTCTCCCAGTTCATGTCGTCCCATGATATCTTCATATCCGGTGTTGTCTATTCCGACTTTGGCATTTAGATCTCCCATCAAAATGGTGGGGTCTCTTCTTGGGCACTTCCCTATGATTGATTGCAGCCGCTCGTAAAATTGATCTTTAATATCGTCGTTGCTATCATTGGTGGGTGCATAACATTGGATAATATTCATTGTGATCCCCTCCTTCTTTGTTTTGAATAGTGTTTTGATGATTCTGGATCCGTGAGATTCCCATCCTACAAGTGCATTTCGTGCTACTTTGGACAGGATAAGAGCGACTCCCTAAGTATGTGGAGCATTGTCCTCTTCGTGACCGGAGTATAGCAACATCTCTCCCGTAGCCAGCCTTTTCTGTCCAGCTTGGGTCCAGTGGATTTCGCTGATTCCCAGTACTGCTAAGTTGTATCTCCTCGTTTCCGTTGCTATTTGACTGGTCTTCCCGGTCTCCCACATTGTCCGGAAGTTCCATGTACCTATAAAAATTTTTGTTCTGGTTGTTAGAACGGGCATCGGCCTCGTGGCTTCCGAAGGAACTCGGCTTTCACCATGAAGCGTCATAATTCTTCTAAATGAAGACCTTCTAACTCCCAGGGCAGAGTTTAAATGGACTGAATTATTTTTTCTGGTTAGCGTTTTTTTTAATTAGTTTTCTACGGGATGAGGTCGCTAACCTCATGCCCAACCCTCATCCTTTACCCGGGCTTGGGACCAGCAGTAAGTCTAGAAGAGCTACAGGTGGAGTTACTCTAACCATCACGCTATCGAAATGTTCCTAGAAACTGATCTCTGTTTATTGATGTTGTCCGTCATGCCACAATTTTCGAAATCGTGATGATTACTTAATGGAGAGAGGGAAAAAGTACAACAAAGTTTAGCACTGTAAGCGCACACACACAGGAGGTAAAAAAAACAAGATATGTGGACATCGACCTTGGTATGCAAGTACATTCAGCTAACGAGTCCCAAGCGGGATGAGACGTGCGTCCCGGCTGCGTTTCTGAATACATGCCATCTATTCCATATAAACTTGTGTCACAATGGCTATATCGAGGTAAGATGCACATATGTCAACTAAGACATCGAAAATTTAGCATAATTAAGTTTGTCTGTATTTGCTTACTCTCAGCTTTCATTTTAATCAAGTTCAGTTCATTGTAGCCCTACTCATTTTTAATCTAGCTTTGATTTATGAGTGTAAATAGATAATCCTTAGAATGTTTTTCAGCTTTCATCAGGTTGTAGTAAGGGTTTTTAAAAAGTACAACCTATTATTTGACGAATGTTCTCTTCTAGTCTGATTTGTCTTATGATTTTTAAATTGGTCATTTTAAAGTACGAAAGTAGGTTTCATCCTATAGGGCCACCTACACAAGCACATTATTGTAGTAATTTTCGAGATTTCCAACTGAAATTATATGAGGTGAAGTAGCCTATTTTTACTTTGGGAAACTTAATCTCCTTATTTAAATTTTAACTTCAATTGACTCCTTATGAAATCCTATTACAATTTATAGGGAAAATATACATTTAGTGATTTCACTAATCAACTGCTAATGTGTCTTAAATGAGTAGTTATTAATTCAAATGTCTAGTCACATTTGTTTTTTCACTTGTACATATTTTACTTAAAATTGTTCTTTCATTAGTTATAGTCCGTTAAACTGGTAGATTTTTACCTTTTCATGTTTTAAATAAGACTTCCAAGATTCGCATGTAAAAATGGACGATTGTCAACATATTCAGAGCAGAAAAATATTTCAAAGAATAATGAAATGTTCCAGAGTTTAAATAAAAATCAAATTCACCATGATAATAGTGAATTCTTAAAAGGATGTCAGGATGTCCCAAGTAAAAATACCGATGTAAGTCTCTGTTATTTTTATTCTATTACACTGTTAATAGTGTTTTATAAAGCACTAAATTATTGTTAAGAAATTTAACTTTCGTGAGTTTAGGTCACTCAGTGTATTGAATTGTAAAGTTCAGTTACATGTCCTTAATTGTCCGACGAAAATACATCCAGTAATTTTAATAATAGATGTTTAATGGTCGAGAACTGTAAAGTTACTTACTGTACAACTTGAACTTTGGACTGATGGTATCGTGACCAAATAGAGGAATACGCATTAAGTTTTTGATTACTTGATTTTTATAGTGATGTTTTTAAATGTAATAAATAACTCATGTTTCATTAAAACTGTTTAGAAACATGTGTGTTTCATTGCAAGCATGAAATTATTCACCATCTAATGAATACATAGTACTGACTTTAATTTATTTCAGCTGTCATTTCTAATAAACTTGAAAGTAAATAAAACCTAGTTTATGAAGTCCATTTAAAATCTGTGATAAAGATATGTACATAAGGCTTTAAAACCCTCTTGATTTATCACACAAGTCATGTTCACCTGACAAACCTAATGTACTTCGACAGAACTAGTGTATATGACATCCAATGACGGTCTTTTTGCACTTTGCACTTTCATGCTATATTTGTGAGATATTTTCGCCGCCTATTCTTTCAAATGTGTAGCTACCGATTTCAGACTCTCAATATTTTAAACTAGGAATTTCGCCTTAATGAAATGTTTTAATTAATATTACGAATAAAGTCATATAACTCACCCTACTAAATAACATTAATGGATAACAATAACACTAAGAAAGAAATAAGACCATTAGAAGTAGTATTAATATCGATTAGAAATATGTTTTATTGATATGTATAAAGTAAATGTGTTACCCTTCATTTTAAGATTTATTACCTAGCCATACATTAATTAGTCATATTTATAACACAAAGTATTTTGAAGATGGTTTACATACAATAATGACTTCATCTGAATAATTATTGAAAACTAGGTAACCCCAAACAACTGTGTCATTCTAGACTGGAGTTCACAACAACAGTACCCTACGTTACCATCAGGAATCGAACCTAGGACCTTCGAATCTTACGATGAAAGCATTACCTTCAGATCACTGAGTTAGAAAATAATGGTTCTCGTTTCTAACTTCATTTGATCCAAGATATAGCTCAATCATCAAAAATTGATGACACATGTCCCACCCCAGACTTGTCTGAACTCTACGAAATTTTGTCATTCAATTATAGTTTTGAAAATGTTATTCCTGAAGTGAACTGACTAGGTAAGTAACTTAAAAATTAGTCACAGGATAATAATACCAAGTGTCTAAGTCAGCGAGCTTATCAACTCGCATCTACCAGTATCTCTGTATTAGTTAATCCCCCTTCTAAGTTGCTATCCACAAAGTATACTACAATAGAGTAAGGTTAACATGTACCTAGTTAGCTTTCATCACATAGATTGGTAGATGTAGACCACCAGGCTTAAATCAACAATAGTTGGAGATGTTGAGCAGCACAGCTCGGAATCGATCATAGTAACGTAGATGCCTTCACTCATTCTTTTCCTCTTGATTTTAAGTTTTAGAATCCTCATACTTTTTACCCCACAATATCATACTTTTAGGAATCATATTGTCTGTAATTAATCTCCTTTACTACCACTAATATTTTTAATACTTCTACTACTATATTATTTGTCTTGATACTTCATCTTTATATTTTGAAATGATGTGACAACTTGAATTGATGCATATATGTGCCTAATTCTACGTTGCTTACAAAACTGACTAACTGGCTGAAATAAAAATAAGTCAATCCTTCCATCATACTGGGTGCTTTTTTAAAATTCCATCTTATTACTAGTATTATTAAATCCAAACTGGGATAATATTCATTAAATACCATGAATTCTAATCTTTCTATCTATGAAAAATTCTCAGTTCATAACAGATACAGTCACTGTAAATAATAACCCGATAGCACCTACAACTGGAACATTATCAGTCAATAAACTCATACCAACCACTTCTCATTCAGTTCCGATTAAATCATCAACAACTCTGAATATACCAGGAAATAATTTCTTGACAAAACGAAGTATTCTTCATTCGTATGATAATGAACATGTTTTTGAAAAACAAGAAGAGGAAATAATCGAATCAAATGATGAATTAATCAATTCACACTTATTACCATTTCGATTACCTGCATTAAATTTTAGAAAACCACTTATTCAAGCTTCATTGAGTAATGAGCAACATAAAATGAATACAAACAATATAAAGTATTCACCTACACGTGGTTCATTAAAGAATGAAAAAGTGTAAGTCGTTTATTACTGTTTTGCTTCAATATGTATGTATAGTTCCGTTGTATAATACTTCAAGTCTTCGCTTCATAATAGTTTAATTGTTGTATGACGTAAACAGTTTACAAACGGGTAGTAGTGGTACTTGTATTAAGTAAGCAGATCAGTCTATGAATTTATTAACTGATGGTCTGTCTATGTAAAACGATTATGGTCTCCCGTACTTCAACACTCAAAATGTTATGAGACAATAACTGAAGACTGTTTGGTGCGCTTTGAAATTAATTATGATAGAATTTTTCACGTTTATTTTTTCCAGATGGGTTTTGTGGATATTATAGTGATTTCAATGGTTAAGATCATGAGTCAGTTGAAGCTAGATCACCATCGAAAACCTTGGAGCACTGGACGACCGTCTCTTCCTATTGTGGGACTCCTCAGCAGTGCGCACCCACGACCTCGCCCTCTGCGAGATTCGAACCCAGGACCTACTGGTTTCGCGCGCGAGCACTTGACCACTAGACCACTGAGCCGGCATCCAACGGTGTTAATGTCTAACCTCAACTAATCCACGAAATTAAGCGATATATCCACCATTGTCTTCAGTGAGTTACTATCTCACAACAGACCTAGTTGAACTCCACTGCTCACTACTCACTAGAACTCCAATATACATCTTGAACCCAGTCACTAGTGAGCATATGTTTACATATTTTTCTCCTACTCAACAACATTCTTTTTGCTATTCAGTTTAGCACTTCCTTTGTAAAGGATTTTTCAAGGTTAGTTTAATCTGTAAGTATTGTTCTTCACAGATTAATCTCATTCGGTTTTAATGGTCAAACGTTCTCTGCGAGACCTAAAGATCCTATGTTTGACCCCCAATGGAGTAGTGGTTGTGCGCTGCTGATGAGTCCCATACTAGGATGAAGCAGCTTCCCAGTGCTCCCTAGTTCACTTGGGTCTAAGTGATGACAAATGGAACCTAAAAATTAATACTTGTATTCTCTAATGTTCTTGTTTTGAAAAAGGGAGAAATTCAAACCGACCTACTTGATAAATATAAATCCTAAATTTCATTCATTTATAGAGATGAGTGTATATCACTACAAGTATATCAGAATTTTTCACTGGTTATTCATTCAATAGCACTAGTGTAACCAAATTCTAAATTCACTCCCTTAAACCCTTTCTGTGTATTCATAGGATATCTTTCATAGTAATCAAACAAATTGTGAAAAACTTGAGTAAAATTAGAACTTGAATTCGATAACGAAATTATTGTTACTTAAGAGTAAGTAACTACACCTTAGCTTGAGATCTGTTGCTGGAAAAACTATAAAACTTCAATTAACTGCTTCTAGTTTCAAGCTATGAACTAATACTTTCTTGATACTTCTTAATTGATTAGACCTAGAAAATAATACTAAAGTATTGAACCGATGTTGTTCGAACTATTTTAATAGATAAAAATGGTTTAACAATAGTTAAAGCACTCAACTTTTAACCTATAGATTGTTAGTTCGAACCCTACTCCTATTCTGATTTCAAGAGACAAAAGAATTAACACCTTGTGAAGTGATATTAAGTAATATTAAGAAGTGGTCAAACAATTTGATCATGAATAAATTGTTCTCGAGTGATTAGAAATATATGGGCGGTTCAGTACCTGATTCCCCACACCGCGGAAGGATACCCTTTTAGTTACCTTAAAAGGAAATTGGGTCAACAGTGGTTTTGGTTGCTACAGAACCCAAGAAGCACCTGTTTGAAATCAGTCATACACGATCAGGTCCTACGTTGCGTATAAATGACTGTCGCTGGTTTGCGTGATCGAGTTGTTTTATATATTTTTATGTACATAAATCGTAGCTGAAAACCCTTTACATGAACTTGGTCTTGGCAAATAAGCTAAGTTAATTACATCTGTTTCGATAATCTATCTTTTCATTCATCTTTCTCTTTTCCGCTCTCTAGACATTTACATCTCTGCCGATAGCTCTAATGTAATTTGTCTATAGTTGTTTTATATGTGAAATATGTTAGTTTTCGGTTATATTTTCTGATTAACAAATATTTCAGCGCGTATTTAAAAGATATGATAGCCAATTAATTGCCAGATACACAACTGCTTGTGTTTCACTATCTTAATATACAGTTGTCACTTTTCAATCGTAATTGCTGCAATTATTGTATTACATGCAGAGAGCGTAAAGCGTTGTACTTTTAAAATGTATGTTATTTTTTAACCAACCTATAACTACACGACCATAGGCCAAAGTCGTCTGAAAAATAATTAAAGACGAAATCTGAGACCTTTTCACCTCCTACTTAGTTGTGCAGTGTTTGCAAGTCAGAGAGCGGTCAAACCAAGATATGACATCATTCCATGGAGTCATTGACCGTTGGATGCTAAACTACCTGGTTGGGGTCTGTACGGTTATCAGGATTAACGATTGAAGACTTCTAACACGGTTCAGGATTGACCACAATAGCGCAGTTGCATTCACCATTTGTTTTCCCTGAAATCTGTAGTCTTAAAATCTTAAACTTTTTATTCTATAAATTAATTCTTTCTTCTCGAATTATCTTGTCTATGTCAATTTTTTCTACTACTACTGATGTTGTTACTACTTTTACTACTCCGACACATGTCTTGATAATTTCATGTTTTTGCGTTGAAACGGTGTGACAATTTGAAGTAATGTATGTGTTTAGGACTGACTATTTCGTTCTAGTTTGAAATTTATCAGTGAAGAGTACAACCCAATATCGGGTTTAACTCATTATCTCCAAGTTTCGCATTGAACACTGTTATTCAGTCGTTACATTTTATTGATATTTCTTCACGATTAATTAGCTTTGTTGATCGTTGACATGTGAATAAAAATGTTCAATAAATCCATTTACTTAAGTCAGCTGACTGAGATTAAATAATTTAACTCATTCTGCAATTCAAAGTTGAATTTATCTGGTCACGTCGTTAACGAGCTTAAATGCAAATAAATGATAGAGCCGTCTGTTGTTTTACTTTCATCGAAGTCATAGTTTCCAATTAGCTTCACCTATTTCAAATTAAGAAACTGTCATCATGATATATATATATATATATATATATATATATATATATATATATATATATATATATATATATCAGTTGTGATGAACACTTGAATGTACAGACTTGTATTTAGATAACATATTTCACTGTAGTTAATATTCATAGAGATAGTACTTTTAGGCACTTCAGCGTCACCATGAATTATGGTCTCGCCCATATTTCTTTCTGATGTTTCATAGCTTTATCACTGGTGCACACGTATATAACTTTTTTATGTGAAATAAATAGCTACAATATATATTTCGATAATGCAATGAGAAGACGTAGTTTATCAGAATTATGTGATATATTTGCGCAGTACGTTTCGAACAATCTGATCACACATATACTTGTTAAGAACATTTATATATGAAAATTAAAAGGTCAACTATATATATGTAATATACCGAGTGTAAATAAAGCGCTTCATAGTTATACTCTATCTAATTAACTACATGACTCTTTCGAATAAATTAATTTCTTTGTCGGAAAAGATATATCATCATCAATAGTGTTCATTTGTCATATTGTTTAAACTGTTTCAGAGATTTGACCAAATCTATCCATTAAATTTTAAGTTCTTGGAAGTAATCAGTATGGCATACCTCTAATTTTTAGAGAATTAATACTCTTTCCGGAATTCAAACCCACGTCATCCAGCTTTACAAACCGATATGTTACCATTGAGGTATTTAGGTAGGGACTAAACTTCTTTATGGCTGAGATATTTAAATTGATTAGTCATTAAGGTTTAGCCAAACATAGGATTGATTAGTCACTGAGTATTGACTAATCACTATTGCCTACTAACTCTTTATAACACTCATACAATCCAGGCTGACTCCCCATTACTTTACATTTTTAATACCACTTTTTGTTTTTAGAAACTTGAAAGTTTTTGTGATCAATGTGTAAAGGATGACTGGAATGACTAAAAACATGTAATTATGATATCTTAACTGACAGAAATTTTTCCTATTTTCCCTATGCGAAACCCCGGAACAGTTAATATTGAAACTATTCATCATTCTATCTCACCATACTTAGGAGACTATTTAAAGATTAGATTTATAAATTACTCATGAAATCTCATCATGCATTTACCTTCAATAATAATGGTTACTGTACATGTTACAATTCACTCATTAAACATGTCCGCTCGATTTCGTTTGTGTAGTCCCACGTTGTTTAGATTATCATAAAAAATGTGTTGGTGAATATTCCGTTCTAAAATAATTATAGCAGAACAATATTTCTGCATGAATTTTCGGCATAAATCCCAACGATCAATATATCTTAAGTATTATTTTGAAAAATAAGGTCAAAACATATCAGTCAGTTGATAACTACATTAATACCAGGTAAAGGAAAAACTTTTCATCCATATAAGTTAGAACTGAAGCAATGAAAATGGTGTTTAAAACTTGATATATTTGTTTGTTTCATTCATAATCTTGACGCTCATTCTTCATCTTTTTCTTATCATTATTCACTAGATTACAATAATAATACCCCTCATCATTCATTTTAGACGAGTTTTCATTTCTAGAACATGAGATATATTTGTTACAAAACACTTAGCTTTTAGTTAGTAAAAAAAAAGTGTAATAAAACAACTGCAAGGTTATTCTCACTTACAAGTGATATCAGATACTCCAATCCATTAAAAAACTAAGGAATACTAGCCGGTTGTTTTGCTCTTTACCAACATGTCTCATTAGTACGCTGCTATGATCTCTAATGTAGATGTTAAAAATAAAACTTTCAAGCCTTGTGACAATAGCTTAAATTTCAAACCACTGAGTTAGAAAATTAATATTTTATATCTTTCACTATGATACAAATTGACAGAATACTTCAAACAATGTAAGCTCATTCATAAACAATTTAAATAGATTAGAACCCCCATAGTTCAATAATCACCTTACAAATGAACATAACATTTTTTTCTCTCGGTATAACAACAAGCTCGTTACTGTTCTTCAACTTAACTCATTTTACAAAAAAATAAAAATAAAACTAATCACCATAAAAAAATGAGCGTAAAATGAAAAAGTATTATTGAGTAGTAAACTGATAATTTAAAAAAAAAGACTAGATTATTCTATAATGTTCTCTTTTCATATGTGTATTAAAAACAAAATCACTTATTGAACACTTAAATATAAAGATGATGATTGAATGTGAATAAGATGACAATGATTTCGTTTAAACAATATCATGTGACTTATTAAGTAAATTTTCTACTAAAATATCGTATTACATAACAGATAGTATCAACTATTTCATAATTCAGTTTATCAGATGATGGTTTTGGAGAATTAAAATAGTACACACCATTAACATTTCACTGTTCACTGTAAAAGTAGAATTTATGGTTTGATTTTATCGTAAAATTGAGAACTTTCTATAGGTTTGTTGATTATGGCGTATTTGTTAAAATTCTCCAGTTTAAGGCCAAGATAAGAATTATTTCTTTTTGTACGTACAGTTCTGGCTTAAATTCATGGATGGTAAGAGCTTTTGCTGTTTTAAGGAGTTGAGTACGAATAAATCTATGTAGGTTTGTAAGAATTGTATGAACGACATTAAAATCAACCTGTGGATCAGTGCAGTGATTAAAGTCGATTAGATGTTTAAAAATGGACCTTCCAACTGCTTTCCTCACACCCTCGTAGAACCACATTGAGACGTGTTCTCGTATTCAAGTTAAAAGTAAGGGTTGGCTACTGTCTGTGTAACTTGCTCCACAAGAGCAGGTGAACTGGTAGATGTACATAGAGGCGATCAGACGAGGAGGCTTATCCGTTACTGATACAGAAGACAAGTTTCTACCAGTGAACGGTAGTCGTGGCTTTGCTGCATAGAACGTTCATTTTATCGCTGCAGTTAACTGAATTTTAATTATACCAGAAGCTTGGTCACCTTTAAATTCCAGATTGTGAGAGTTTACCTTGTTTTCAGTCAGTCAGAAACCAGACGATACTAATGAAGTTATCCGGACTAACGATCAATAAATTAGTAGATTTCTGTCGTACTATTGGTAAGCTGTTAGTCTTAGTACTTTTCTGACCCACATCAGTCTGCGTTGCATGTTTTGATAGAAAATGGGTTTATATGAACATCGTAAATAAGATTTATTTTATAATTACAATCAGATGACTTTTATCCTGATGCCAGGGTGTATATAGAATAGATTTCGGGAATTCTATTTTAGTTGCGTAGCATTTTTTCCTCATTAGTTGTATTTCACGGTTTTCTGTTGATCATATACTATCACTTAACATCGGAACATAGTGCACATGGTGTCGAGTCACCTAGGTAAGTAGTCATATTGAAACTTGATCGATAGAAATCAATCAACACTAGAGGACCAGACAAGGATGACATTGGTCACTACTTATTGATCAATCCATTGTAAATATTTCAATACTGCAGAAGGTCAGTCGGTACCCGAGTACTTCAATGGTAACTTATGAGCCTGTGAAGCTGGGTAACGTGGACTTGAATCCTAAAAAGAGCATCAGTTTCCTTAAAGTTTCAGGTAAATCCTACTGATGTGTGCCAACTAGCATGAAATCTAGACCTTAATAGAATTTCTTACTGGGTACTTTCAACTACCTAATATTTACAGATTGTGGTTAACAGTGGAATTCAAAGCACATGTTTCTTCGTACTAAGGATTCATTTTCTCACAAGTATACTCAATACCTTTATATCTATCACTTCAAATACCTACACATTCTTCACTAAGTTATTCATTTTAAATAAACATTATTTCATTGAACGAATATGATATTTATTATGTGTGAGAGTTTGTTATTACACTTGATGTTTTTTTTTCTTTGATTGACACATTTTGCAACCTAGATGAGAGTATATCTCCCTAATAATTGTCACTAACCATCATCAAAATATTAATTAAAGTAAAATGTCTTTGAATAAGATATTCAAATATCTCTTCTTTTTTCTTCTCATCTTCATTTTAAATCTTATTAACTCTTTGATTAATTAATATTAATGATTATAGTTTAAAAGTAAAAGAATGTAGTTCTCTATAAACGTTAAAATTCTTCTATTTTGATTGTCTATACTATTCAACTGAAACTTTATTAACTAACATACTTAAAAACTACTATGTATATACACAGATACATTAAGAGTAAGTAAAACATTTCTTCAATCTATCTGGTCTTTTTGTTTGTTTTTTTTCGATCGAATATTTCTTTTAAATAAGTTGAATAGTTTGTTAAGAAGGAAGTTCTGAAAAAATGTTCAGTTAAAAATAGCATGTCAGTTAAGAATGTGACATATTGAGTGTGAAAAAAAAGAAAGGACTCTTTTTTTTTTCTTTGTTTAAACAGATCGACATTCTTAAAATAAACTGATGAACTGTTGCTTCAACTATCAAAAATAATGGCTTAGTGTAATTATATTAAATGTGATCGTTTTCTTTAAAAACAAAAAACAACTACTGATAAGTCATTCAAATTAAGAGATCTATTTTCATGTACATCTAAATAAGTATCAACATTTGTTTTCATTTGTGTATCTAGTATAGTAAATTAATTGACAACTAGCTAAAATCGATAATTGTATCTATTTTTCTTCATACTACTTATAAGTAAAACGATTTTTTAAGGAAATTTAGTGCATAACCAAGTGAACAGTCAGATTATTACTACCATGAATTTAACAATTTAATATGCTCACTAATATAGGATCATTAGATTATAGAGTTCACTGATGACGTTCACATTAATCAATAACGTAAGCAACCATATAACTACTGGAAAATTCTAAGGTCTGTTTTTCTACGGGGGCTTTTCTTATTCCCCATATCTGATGAGAACACCAAGCCAAATTACTTTCGATTTTCATGACTCAAAAACCTAGTTACAAGATCAAAACTCCACAATATATTGGAAATCACATATGGTAGCTCATATAACCAGGCTATTTGTGGTAAGAAAAAACTTTGAGTAAGAGGTACCAAGTTAACTAAATAAAATTTGTGAATGGAAAAAGATATATCAACAGTTGGTAAGTTAATTTTTCACACAAGGATGAAAGTACATCTGTGTTACATAGAACGAAACGTATACTAGTTACTATCCAACTCGAATTAAAACTTGTGACTAAATGGCAGTATCCGGACAATCTGCACTGAATGGACATATGCCAACAGACAAAAAGTTTCTCAAAGACTACTAACTTTAGAGAGTTTTTCAAACATATTTGGACTAAGGTTAACCATTCGCTATAATCCGTTTTTAAGGGGAAACAATGTAAATAGCTTATGAAGTATTTAATCATCAGTATTATTGAAATGATAGTACTTTAACTTAACCGTATAGGTTTTTTGATTAAAACCAAATGAAATTGTTAAAGTGTGCTTTATGTATAGTTAAGAATCGCTAACATTTATGTAACATTATTGTTTGTACTAGTTGTATGATGATTAACGCACAAAATCAGCGATTATCAATCTACAGTATTTAGGGAGATAAACAGCTTGTGCACTGATAAACATATGATATTAGAAGTCAGTATTTGGAGATATTAAGTGGCATACATAACTCTTTTTGGTTGCGTTGTGTTCGCCGAGCTAGGTAGTTTGATTTCACAGCTTTCATTGCTATTCAGGACAACATCTGGAGCACTGTTTTCACATAGAAATGGTCTTCCCAGTTGTTCTATACATGTCTTATCAGTTTGTTCCTATAGCCTCGTTTTTGGTTCTGTCTTCGCATGTCTTTTGCTTTGATTTTGACTGTCTTTGTCGAGTGACCTCTGGTCTTGCGACTGATTGACCTATTCCGTATGATTCATGGATTAAGTGTATGTTTGTGGATTACTAATCGATTGAATGTCATGCTTCTAGGAATTCTCTGTAATTCTTGGAGTTTCTCCACACACTTTTATTACATATTGTCCTGTTTTAAACGACAAGTTGATCGATATCTAAAGAAGCAATTCATCAATAAGTCCTGTATACTGTTTTCATTATCTCCTAGCGTCTCAAGTTTCAACCCAGATATGTGCTTCTAATGGAAAGGTTAAAATTGAATTTGAATCCAAGAATAATCCTAACTACTATTAGTTCAGAACGTATGCTCTTCTTCTAGTCCAGCCAGTAGTCCGGTAATAGAACACATGAAGCAGTAATGTATGTACCTTGTGTGATTCAACTCGTAAAAGTAATATTGATCAGTTTCTTGAACTGACATTAACATGAATATAAAATTACAATATCGGCACGGCTACTCCAAAAGTAAAAGAGAATGGAATGGGAAGGTGACTGATTAGTTATCCATAATTAAGGAATACTAGAATATACAGCAACACTTGATGAGTTCATTGGAAGCTTATAATAAAGAGAATATAAAAACACAGTTATCTACTAATTACACAATAAAAATAATAACTAGCCGTAGATTAGTCCCAAAAGTTACACTTTCTTCAACATTCGTTCTACCACAACATATCCCTTTATTAATATTCTTCACAATATTGTAAGTAAATTTTGTTCGGTTTATATTTCTGTTTCTGTATACTAATCATTCACTAAATACATATTTCTTTCTTCAAAACTTTTCTAATTAAACAAAATAGATTCAATAGCGAATTAAAAATAACTCGTCCAATAAAAAGTGCCACAGGATACAATAATAACTTAACTACATCATTGGAAGTATCCATTAATAATCTGCAAACTAAATCGATTGATTCAAAAACCTCAAATGATCATTATCAACAATTACATGATTTAAATTTAAGAAAAGTTACACAAGCTTATTCAATTGGATTAAAACCATTTCTACCATCATTAACAAAACCAGCAGATGTAATGTTGAATCGTCAAAATGATCGTCATCAAAAGAAATCTACAAAAAGCTTACAACGTAAGCGTGCACAACAAAATATTTATCCATTTTAAATGATGATGATAATAGTAACATTTGGAACAAGAATTCAATTTGAGAAAGAAAATCAACATTGAAATTTTGTTTAAATAAGTATAGATAAAAATAACATTCCATATATATTTCTATTTTTAATATTTATTAAACTAATAAAAAGTGGTGACCCATACAGTGGGAGCTACTAATCAATCGCGTTCATTTGAATGAATTATGCTCGTTGAATATTGAAACAAAAAATGTTTTATTTATGGAAGGCAGCATACATATTATCAATGGAACAGTTCAGTACTCAATAATAAAATCATGCGACAAATTTAATTCTCAGATGAAATTCAAAGGTTAAATTATTAAAATATTGTAAGTAAACTTTTACTTAGTTTATTACATGAAGAAGAAGAAAAAAAACAGTTTTCTAAAGATAGAATGGTATTTTTATTGGTTCATATTATTGTTTTCAAGATTGTTTTATTCATTTCTTCTATCCTCATTAACAATTAATGATAATAATTTGTTTTACTATACTTTTATGCTTGATTATTCATCTGTGAGAACACTGATAGATTATTGTCAAGATAATTGTGTTTGCTTGTCATTACTTAATTACTGACTTTTATCATTACTAATATTATGATTATCGAGGTATATCAGCATGAATACATGTGAATTTATACGTCATAGCGGTAGTTACACTATACAATAGTAGCTAACTTTCTCCATCATGACAAATACCTATAAATTCACGCCTATGCAAACAATATATATATGTATATCGTCTATCCATTCAATATACTCATGTACATGACACAACAATCGTTGTTCAGGTGGGTTGGTATTTATATCAATTGTTTATTACCTTCGACTTTTAATATTGTCAATGTTCAATACACGTTTATGCAGAATAGTGTTGAACAAGTTGATCTGTTTACATCTGACTTTTCAACAAAACGTATTGTCCTCTACATAATAAATTAATAATGATGATAATAAATATTTATGAAACATGTTTTAAACTGGTATACTTACTATTTTCTTGCGTTTACTAATCTAGAATAGAATCAAAAATCTAAATGATAGACCTGAGATAATTTGAACTAGTTAATTGCAGTTTTTACTAGTTTGTAGTGTTGTTAAGTAGTCAATATTTATCATAACGAACGAATTCTTTGGAATGAAATATATCGACCCATTCACTCCATTATCTCACTAGTCCGCATTAGTATTTGATCTGTACAACTCCAAAGAGTTGTTGACAAGCGAAAATATAAGCATTTCTAATCAACCTAAAATTACTGTGGAAGAGCATTTGAACGAATGATTTACAGTGATTAGTTTGACGATAACATTAGATAACCTATGGGATTATTCAAACTACGCAGTAGCATAAATCACAAAATCAGAGAGACCTCGCTGGTTAACAGACTCACAATATAGTTAAACAACCATCCATCCGTTTTCAATTAATATGACTACAGCTTTCTGTGGAGTTCCAAATACATTTTTTAATCTGTCGAGCAAACTAAGTAAATACGGTTATGAAACAGAAAAGTTATCACCTACGTAAATATTCAAACATAGTAACAAATGGTCTACTGCTATTCACTGTTTTGGCAAAACAGTCACATCCCAGTTGTCAATTACTTAGCTTGCAATTTGATAGAAATATAGTTATCTTCATTAGATTGTGTTTCCCGCGGATTTGGATTTAACCTGTTCATATTTGAATTTCATCAGCTGCTTAAATGAATTTGAAACTCATATATAAGCTTTTTTCACACTGCTCTCGAACTGTTCTCTTTTTCTACTTTAAGATGATATAATACGATTAAACTCATTTGTTAACTGTGGACGTATGTACTAAGCTCTAGTTCCCATATACTATATAAAGACTAAAGAGACCCTAGGCAGTTCTTTATATCGAACCTGTCTGGCGATGCCTAATGTATAAATTTGACTAAGAAATTAAACTGTCGGAGCCATATTTCTACCACAGCGTTTCGGGTAAGGTCACTTTTTAGTAGTTTTCCTAGTTGAAAAAAAACTTCAAGGTAGCTACCTATCTATTGACGCAAATAATTGCATCCAAGATTTTTTGAACAGTATTTCATATCAAAATGCTTGAAGTATATCCGAACATTTTTCGTTGCTTCATTTCAACCATTATGTTTACTAGATTATTTAGTTCATTACCAGCATAAGCACCCAACTAGGCTTTAATTCCACTTCATCTCGTTCAAAGGACCTCGTGATATGACGTATGGATATATACAAACATCACTTACCTAATGTCTTGATAATAAGAATAAGTATACCTGGCACCAATCACTTTCTATAATGAACGTAAACAATACATGTTGAGGGAGTTAGTTTCCTTTAGAGAAACACAATAAAAACTATTCTTCAAGCTAAACTCAGTGTTCAGACGTATTTCACCCCAACTTGTGCTAGTATGGATTGCAAAATCATAATCGAAAACATTTAGACTGTCAGTTGACTGGATATAAAATCAGCAATGTTTTACAAAAATATGTATCTGAATCTCACCATAAAGTATGATGAAAATTATGACGAGAATTATAATAGATATGGAAGTTGGGTCTCTGGTAATCAAGTTTTAATTTCGTTGGGTGGTGAACGACCTGCAAAAGCTGCATCCTACAGTCTTTTATGCTTTAAAGTAAGCTTATTAATTTTGATGTGAAGGGATTTTGTGGAGATTCACTTGACTGGTAGGTCGTATGTGTGATGAACTTATCACAGTTGGAGCCCCATCAGAAACGAAGTACCGAACAGCTTCGTACTAGTACAGGACTTTTCAATTCTGGGTTTGAACCCTGGTATGATCGTCAGTTGGTACTCTTAAATGGTCTTACACTACTGCAAAACAGCTGTCTATTGGTTTCTGGTTTTCAATCCTACTTTAATTGATGTCAAATGGTGATGAGTACCACCTAGACGTTCTTAGCAATGTCTGTTATCATGCTTAATTTATTAGTCCCGGACCTCACACAAATCGAATGGTGTGTGGCGCATACTTGACTCCTTGTACCAATGTTTATGTGTTTAATTTATTACATATAAATATCGGTTCAGTTTTATTTTCTTAATGTGATCTGAATTAGGAATCTTTGTTTAGTCGTATGTCACATCAATTCAGGAAAATCGACCACATACATCTGTAAATATGTTCCATTATGCATTAATTATAGTAACGAAATCATTTTTAAGGAATTGTAGTTTCTCTTGCAAAGAGAGAGAAGTTTAAAATAGGCTAAAATATATGGTGTACCTCCATCTATCTTAGATATCTCTTCAAGTAATATTTTATGAAACATTTTTATAAATAAAACTGATTGATTTGTGAAGTAGAGATGTGTTTTTTTTTATCTATCTGCATTTTATTTTGCAGTAAGACTATTTTCAGTGTAAATCAAAAGAGAATGAATACTACTTGTATTCTAATATAGTAGAATAGATGATGCAACATAAAAACGACTAACAGTATGATAGTGTATACAGATAGACAGACTGTAAGTTTATATCACAAAACAATACAAGTTTCCCTTTCGAATATAATTATCATTCATTAATAAACAACTACCCATCAGTGATTCCTAAGTTACGTAAGTCAAAGTTGTCATAGAAACACCAAGTCAGTTGCACATGGTATCGGATTTACCCGTTACATTTCTGTTAAGACTAAGATGTAGTACTTCGAGATGATAGAGAAGACTTGCGACTCAAGAGGACGATTTGTACCAATGTTGTTCAGAAAAAGTGAAAGTTTCGGAAAACAACACTAACGAAATAGCATATCGGGGTATTAAAAATATATTGGTAGTCCTTATCAAGTAGAGTTTATTATTATTATTGTTGCTCTAGTATCCTCAAATGTTGCTAGGTCACAAATTCAACTGCTGATTATCTTTTCTAGCTAAAACTTTAAGTCAGTCAACTCATGTATTATATGTGAATTATGCTTTCAAAACAAGCGAGTCTTACCACACTGCTTTCCAATACTCCCACCCAATAAATTATGAAAATCTAAGAAGCCTCATGCTTGTTTCATAAAAAGTATATGTATGCCGCAGATTACGCAGTTACGGAGATGTTAACTGAGCTTTCGGTATCAATACCAAAAATTTCCCAACCAAAACCTCATACCCATACAGAACTTAACCACTTAAATCCCTACTGTCAAAGTCATTGCTGATGAAATCAATTTTGATGTGTCAGTTCACAATTATTAGACTATAGAAGTATTTCAAACGATCTCGGATTCTCTCGTGGTGCCAAATGATGACGATAAGAAATAAATGTGAATACCTGTCGATTATTTATTTAAATAACAGAAAAACAACCACATAAAATGTATCCAGTGTACAAGAATTCTATGTACAGTTATGCATTTGTATTTTCGCTAAATAAATATTTCACAAAAATGCGACTATTTAGTTGGCAGAGTTTGAAAATATATTCTATTAACTGGGATTTACACCACACCTATTAAGTAACTCTAATGTGGTGTCTCATTCTCACTTTGGGACATATTATTTACAGTAATAGAGGTGAATGGAATGTCTGAAACATTCATGGCAGAGTAATCGGAAGAATTAGTGTTATTAATATAAAGGTCTGTACCTTCTAATTTATGACGTTCCATTATTCTTTCATCACAAATGTTTACAACAGAAGCAGAAATCTCCTGATCAATTGAGGTAATTCGTACATTAGAATTGTCGTGTGGTGTGAAATCTGAAGGTATATTATCTGGATGATTATAAACTTGTGGTGACACTGAAGCTTTAGCTAGTTCAGCAACAAGGGCTTCTTGTTTATCCTGTTCGGAGTTATTATTGCTGCTGTTGTTTGTCTCAGTGAAAATATTAGTTACCTGGGAAATTTCAGACGATGTAATACAATGTAAAGCACTTGGAGCAATAGATGAAGTGGATATTTCAGTCACAACCGCAGGGGAAGAAGGCTCTTTGCGCGTTTTGAAGAAGTCATTTAATATTTTATCCATACTAGCTACACGCGGTTGACGAGGCGGATGTCTGGAAGTGCCTGCTAGACGTCTAAGTGGCAAGTTTGCATTTTGAGCAGCAGCACCAAGTGGAACTGAAGGAATAGATGGTTGATTTGGAGACTCATCAAAGTCGAACTCCTTTAGCTTTACAATACTAGTTAAGGATTCTGAAACCTTCGGGGCAGGATTATCATTTGTTTCGGTACGAATTTTGGTTGCTATAAATTTTTTTTGAGAAAATGAAGAAAAAGGAATGTTGAATGTCTACAGCTAACCACAAGAGAATTGATGAGAGCAAATTAGAATAAAAACGATTTGAAAGTACAAACTGATGATAATTGTAGTTAATAAAATACACCAAATTCCTTATCAGTTCGCATTATGAGGTTTTTCCGAACGGGCGTTTGGACTAAGTAAATGAGTTTAATGCTAGTCGATAGGCGGTATGCAATCACTTGAGGTGATCGAGTGATTACTCACGAGAACGAATTATTGATGTGGTCCTCCAATTGAACTGATATCACAAAATAGGTATTCGCCCAGCAAAATAGATCTCTTTTTAACTAAATAAAATGCGCACATACAAAATACTGAACACGAGAATAAACACGGTTATGAGTCACTTAACAAATAAACGATTGTAGGATATGATAATTATGGGTCATCGACCATTCAACAGTAGTCCCTAACTATCAAGCCTCATTCTTCCCCTGTTACGTATCAGTTTGTTCCATACAAAGAAAGAATGCTTGAACACAAGCTACGGCTCAAATTACAAGCTATCAAGAACAAACAGTGCAATTGACTGCGTGGACCGAAAGACATATGTAACGCAGGACCTAGTACTAAAGTATAATAATCAGGTTTAACACGGATTGAGTGAAACAAAACTAAAGGGATTAATACAAATAAGCGAAAACTAAAACGACTCAGATTGTTTTAACTAACGAATACCAAGTATCGCTTATCAACACGTAGATTCTGTTTTAAATCAGTATACATGCTAATCAGCGGTAGATAGTAACACATCCCAACCACATAATTTGATTGTTTTATTACAGTCCACTTTTATTGCTTAATTCAGGAGTCCATTATACATGACCGTTACCACGAAGACATAAAGCCAAATACAATTCACACATATCTTCCATTTCAACGGCTATTTGACATTTAATACAGATTGGGTTGTTGCAGAATATTTTGGTTTTTCACTTTAACCAAAAAGAGTGATATAATTGAGTACACCGTGTACTTCACTCCCCTCAAGTCTTAGTAGCTCTGGTAGATTTCAAAATCTCAACAGATACAAAGACACCTGAATATTTGCCAACTTCTGCAGAAATTCTTCATATATTAACCTATGGGTGAGGAACATGCGCTAGGGCAATAGATATGTACAGGCGACGAGTATTCGACTGTAGATATCTTCAAAAAATTGATCATATTTGATGGAGCGACCTAGTGAGTAATTATGAGTAAGGTATCTTCACCAGCTTAGCTGAGACATGAGTTATGAACGTTACGCCATCACCTACCTCGGCATATAGTGATGGCGAGCATGGGAATAGGTTAGAGGTGGCCAAACAAAGACGTCAAACTAGACCACAACACTTCTTGTTTGTCTGAGTAAAGTCTGTGACGAGACTCCCTGGATAGAATCTGCGTGACAGTCGTAATCTATGGTAAGCGACTAGGTAACAGCCGCAATAACACACGTTCATCGATTATATATCTACACACCAAATCCAGATACCAGTTCCAATTGACATTTTTGATGTTTCTTCATACACTAATTTTTTTATTTATTTTGACTTCACCGTTTATCTTGTACATGCTGAGTTTGTGTCAACTTGGACCGACTCGTGTCGGGTCCCACGCAAACTATCAATGAATAACTTTAATAGGCACACAAAAATCTAGCTTGGCGGTTTTACTTTTAAACAGCAACCCTTTTAGTGAAGTCTCAATATGATAAAATACGACGATGTTACATAATGAACGGGTGCGAAACGAAACAGTACATTTTGTTGATTAGTATATCTTATTTTTCGGGGGTTTATCTCGATTAAGTACGATTCGGTTTACGATTAGTTATGGAAGAGTAAACTTCAGTCGAGTACACAACGTAACGAAAGTTTTGGTCACTATACGGAAACTCTACCCAAGTCTTATCATATGATTCGAACGCTTATTATTTCAGTATGGGAAACGACATCTAATGCAAGCAATATAGAAATCTTGACCTAACCATTATGTAAATAGTATTTCTAAGATAAATGACGGAATCAACCTCTTTTTTAGTAAAAATTATAGCAACCTAACCGAGATTTAAGCCAAATAAATACCTTGACTTCTTACTTATTCGCAAAGTACAAATGAGATCTTACTGTCTACGTTTAGACCTTTAAGTGCTTCACTCGAAGAACCCAGTGTTACCTAGATATCATACCACATAATTTTTCGCGCAAAATTCTAAACAGTAGATATGCATGGCCAGATAATGAACTGTTTTAAACACTGCATATCCTAAAGTAGAATAAAGCAGAACATTAGTTCTATTCTTCCAGTTTTACCTCACAAACTCATTCTAAAGTTTGCTATTTCAAGGATGCATAATCTATCCTTACAAAAGATGACCTGCGAATTCAGTATGGAGAAATGGGAGTCCTTATGTGAGTATCCTGATGTTTTTAAGCGATGTTAAGCTAGAGATTGGTGAACCACAAAAAGATCGTTTGGCTTTCGCCAATTTACGTCACCTATGGTAAAGGTGTGATATCCGTCTATCAATTAGAGGACAAGTATATTGAACATATGTGCCTGGTCTTACGTTGTATCTGACTGACTGAGCTACAATTAACATTTCAGATACTTTAAATCCGATTATTGTCCATCATCTCACTATTTCATAAAAATAACAAGCATGGAGAACTCAGCTTTTAAAAGAATCATCCACAAGTAACTAAGGCAAAGGTACTTAACAACTAACTATCACGACTGAGTTGTTACAACTACTCAAACGTCTTGACATTAGGAACTCGTTAACGATCCAAGGTAGAACATTTTCCAAGACAAAGACATAGGTAACTAGCAAAAAGAATATTGAGGAAACCAGTGTGTAAGAATAGATAAGATGAATAGAGAGCAGGAATCCGTGTGACTGTGATTGGTTCCGCCCATAGTCATATAAAATCATTTACATCCAAAGCAGTTGATAAGAAATTCGGAGTTATTCCTTAAGCACTTGTGGAGACGTTGGCGGAAACAGGTTAATTGGAAACGATATTCGTACGTAGCAAGTCTCCTACTAACAAATAGATAGCCGGGCACGTTTTAATTTGAATGGAGTATATTGTGTCCGGAAGTTCCGACTCCCGTAAAGGCAGTGAACGACGAACCACATAAATTACTGAAAAAATTTAGGGATAAGTACCACAGAACAAATTATTCCCTAAGTTTGCATCAAACTTACTTTCCCTCTGAACGTTAGGATCGATCTTCCCTGGACAAACCCATTCTAATTTAAGCGGTTCATTTTTAGCGATGGAGTCATAAAATGGCAGCAAATCAACTAAAGAAAGCCCATTAGGATACTTGTCCATGAACTGAGTGTCATCATCAAGCAGACGAAAATCACTTCCTGACATTCAAATTAATGCTGTGATTTTTAAACCAGCCAATACCTTAAAAACAAAGCAAGACAATAGGAATTAAGTTTTTTAATGAGCAATTTTACATAACTCTAGTAAAATGGCATCCAGGAACTCCCATCAGCTGGACCCAAATCGCCACGAATGAGAAGGACGATATCCACTATCCACCAAATACCGGCCCCACCCAATGTTAGGAGTTTACCGAGGCCTGTACCAGTATGACCCAGACATAGCCGGTCAACACCAAAAAATCCTAGTAGTAAGCTGTATATGAATGTTGTTACAAAGTAATGTCCTTTGTAATGAAGGCAGGGATAATCGGGTAACAAAAAGGTACGATTCCCGTAGCACTCAATATTGTCCAAAGCATGACACACAAGTGATGTGAGCATAACCGAATCTGTCGCTTTTCCGCCCCATTTTAAACATCCGTATTTCAATTCATCGTATTGCGACTTGTTACTTCTTAAATCTAACAGATATTACAGTTAACAAGGTACCCACCTAAGGGAGGTTCACACCAAATGGAATGACGAGGAAGATAAGAGCATTTAACCAAAGGACTCATGGGGTCATAAGAAAAACCGGTCGACTCATCAAATAATTCCGAATGATTATCAGAATATTTGAAGTTTTCTACAACCGGAATGTCAAGGTAGTTGCTAAACACAGATATCCAGAGAAGAGGAAAAATAAGTATAACATAATTCAGCGACGTAATTATAAAACAATCCCCAAAATACATGAACAACAAACAGAGGGTTGAATGGTCCGCTTAAAATGAGTACCATAAAATAGTGACAATTTTGGAAGATTCAAACACTGCCAATATGACATGTGAAGTCGAAGTTTCTGTTCATGTGAAACAAACTCTACGTTGCATTTTACGAGCACTCTTATGATTCATAATGGTTGACAGAGTCTAAAGTTCAAAAAACATTTTTGATTACAAATGTAATTTTGTAAATAAATCATCATCTGCTATGGCCCCAAGGGGGATTTCGATAGCTTAAGCGTTGAGTGCTTCTTGTACTGCTGACGGTCTAGTTTCAAATCAGTTATGCACAGCCAATCATATATGTGTTCCAAACTGAAAACACGTAACAGCAGAAAATTCGCCTCACCACAAATCTCTACCTTACACGATAGATCACTTTACATTGGACAGTTTGTCGAACCTCACCAATGTCATGACTGACTAACATCTTCATTCATTTGCACGTCATCGATTATCCCGTGTGGTGGTGGTTTCACCCCGACTTCCTTTAGCTTATTCTTACCCACACATTCCTTGATTAGTAGCATGTTTATTATATGCAGTCATCAAAGTAGCTCTAGTACATGGATACCCCGAAAAGGTAGTACAAGTTATCCTCCAACCAAGCGCTATGATTTCAATGGAGATCACATTTTTCCCGCCCAACTTCAATAGTTATCGACCACCCATGTAGTCATTTTACGTTAGTGATTAACATCATTCTCTGATTAAAAGAGTACTGAAGCTTTATCGTGAACAAATCCAAACTGGAACAACAAATATCTAATGTCCCTATTCAAGTTGCCAGGGAAACTCAACTTGTTCCTTTGAACCAGAGTATTTTTTGCTGTAAGTCAGTATTTATAATTGAAAGTTTTGTGGGATTTGGATATTTATTGGGACCTTGGAAACGTCACTATGGGCTCGAAAATTCATTAAGTTACAATACAAGCAGCCAAAAGTAATTTTCATCTCTGGATCTTGTACCGGCTTTGTTCAGAATCTTAACCATTTTAGTGTTATTTTCATTTATGTTGCCGTATATGTTATCTATGCTATCTAGCTCTTCAGTTCATATAAAAACCCTAGGATAGTTGTGGGATGCAAAGTTCAACTGCAATTGAGGAGCGACAGGTCATCAAGATTAACAAACAATCATTGGCTGATATGGACGATGCATGTAACCTTGCTACGTCTTTGATCCCTCTGTCTAATAACATACAGCAGAGTTTGTTCTGAATAAGTTTGAGACCTAGGTACTGATATGTCTTGTTGTTTGAATGCCACTTTCATATCTGGTCATCGCTGATTGTCGTGTCGTAAACGATTATCACTTATATTCGAAACGAAGGATCTCTGCAATTCCTACGACGCGAAAGTAAGAACACAAAGACTAGTGTAAGTGAAGATTTATTGACCCAAAAACACGACGACTCTAGTAGAAAATACGCTCAATTATATATTGGTCGTACACCTATTTCGATTAATAATTAAGATGAAACCATATATATGAAAAATACATAGAGTCATAACAAATCACATACTGAGCATAGTTCATGTCAAGTGAATAAAAGAATATAGTATATTGTACAGAATGAAATATCATACGAGACAATAAAATAAATACTACATTGAGTAATCATTATATTGGATCAAAACGGAAGTAATGCCGAACATAACTCATATGGAGTAAATCAATCGAATTTCGACTTTTCTTTCCATCATATCACGTTAGTTATCTAGTTCAGCCTTGAGGCTAGTGATGCAAGAGTCTGATTTATGACTGAAAAGCCTTGGGGGGAATGAAAATTATTTTCTTGACAGACGAGAAAAAAACGAGTTGACCGGAACACTAATCGGTTTGTCTCTGATTCATATCAATGCATAAAGGCATGAATAAATTGGCAACCAGAACGACTACAATGGACAAGGAGTTCAAAAGGACAACTATTTTTAAATTAGAAATTAGGAGAGAACAGTGAAGTTCATAGGATTATGTTTAAATTACAATAATTTCGAAATAAGGAAGAAAAAAGATGTAGATTATACATCAAACAGAAGCTTAAATTTATGGAATAAACCAGAGAAAAAAAAACTAAAAATGTTACTATTTTCAGACTTGGAATCAAATGAAACAGTGTCCCCAAAAATATATTCCGTTGTTCTTCAGTATCCCCTCATTGTTCTCTTCACACCAGAACTGTAATTGCTAAACCAGCTAGTTCTTTCAGATTTTACAGAGAAACCAATAAATACCAGTAAAATTTGGCGGAATCATAAAAGGACATCAAGGTGGATATTTGATACATATTGTTCACTGCAAAAACTCCGACATGGTAGCAAATATGAAAACGTAGGTATTATTACCAAGGCGTGGCTTGATGATTTCGAGTAAATTAGGGACTGGATAGATTGTTATCAATAAATTAATATATTTGTAATATCCCGATGAGTAGAAAAATTAAATTTTCTGACGTTTTCTGACTCTGTGCAAGCCACTTCTCCAGAGAATAAATAGCGAAATCAAAATTAATCTAAGTTTAAGTAATATGAAGAAACAAAAACACATAACGTACTTAAAAACCGTACAGATAAAATTCGAAATCTGACCCATCATAACAAGACCCACCAACCACTACTGACGATCTTATAAAACACTTATATGCTTATAGTGTCGGTTACTATGGTAAACCTACATAACTTCCTTTAGTTTTTGGACAGGTCACTTTACTCACGTTCTGATCTTGTCAATTATTTACTCACTAAGCTTGACTGTTCTTATATGAGCGTATGGGTATACTTCTTACCCCATTCACCACATGTCTGTAACTTATTTTTGTGTGACAATAAATATCGATTAACGCTTGATTAAATCGAGTTGGCTTATATGCCTTCTCCTCTGAGCGTCATTCCACCTCAATTTTTTTCACCGCTTCCTTCGTTTTGTTCCTCTGATTGGCAGTTCAGATAAATGATTGTACAGTATATACGTATTCGAAATCCTTTCCGTTATATAGTAACTCAAGTTAAGTCAGTGTTGATATACGAGGATTGGCTACATGTATGTTTCAATAACGATCTGTGGTGACTTACTTTGACCACGAAAAGACGATTGGTTTAATGAAAACAATAATTATTATAACCAATTGTACCAGTGACTGTTTTAATGTGCTCTTTGTTTAACTGTGCTAAAAACATCCATTATACTCACTTCGATTGTGACCTTGCGCGAATCCGGTTGCGCTCAGTAACCAAGCTTGTATCCTGGCACGATCTTGGTATTGTTTCGATACCACGAGATCGCCAGCAAATATATCTCGACTTGGTCCATTAACTGCCTTCTGATATTTGGCTTCCAGGGGATTTTATGGATATCCTGGCACGTGTTCCTTTGTAGTGGTGTTTATAGTCAACCGGGACTCGACACCACGCTACAGATCTATCAAACGATATAATCGGAATCATTTGAGGCTCCACAAAAGGCTAAAAATCGTGTACAAAAGCAAAATATACATAAAACAATGTGACCATTTCAATTTTTCCAAGCTGTTTAAATCATACTCCAGGTCCTTCACTTTGTCGGCTTGGGGTTGTGGAAGTTTTTTAAATTCAGTGCCATCACGAACTGATCTTTGCTAAATCAATCATAACCTTAGAGTGATGGACAAGTGATTCACTCTAGTATGGGACTCGGGTATGCTTATCCATGACCCCGAAAACTGATAGTCGGACCGATGATATTCAGTCTCGCCGATGATCTAACTGTCCTAACATTTCATGGATTTATATTGTCTGTTGTTCCGGTTATCGTTCAAATGGCTAAAGATGACTTTAAAAAATATTGGTTGATTAATAAAAAATGAGTTTATACTATATATGTTTGCTATATAACAGCAGCCTCTGCAGCAATAAGCCTCAACAGACACAGGGGAAATAGCGGAATCCTGAAATTTCACACAGACAGAACCAACCAAATACTGATTGATGGGGAAGCTCTGGAGGATGTGGAAACCTTTATGTACCTGGGCAGCATCATCTGCTGTTTCCTGCACAAATGTGTCTTCAGATAACCTGTTTTTGTTCTCTCCAAACCTGGTGTTATTATTGGTAAACTGAGCTAAAATGATTCGTTTGATATTTGAATTGATGTAAAAATAAATTAAACGTCTCATGCAGTCTAGAGAGTACGAATGTTTAATATCAGTGGTTACTTTTGAAAAAAGTCACACTTCAACAA